TTCCTTAGCGAACTCACGAAGGGGCACCGGATCACACTTCACCACCAACCTAGTGCCACGATGTTGGCGGCCATCGCCACGAAACATCTCCCGAAGCAGCGATTCGCCACCATCATGCAACTCGTCAAGGACTACAAGTGCTCGAAGGTATTAAGCACAAGATCGCATGGCATTGTTGAATATTTTGAACGCGTGTATTGCTCACAGGATGGATTCACTCATGTGGAGGTCGATATTCTTTGATATGAATTGAGAATTGAGGGGTCGCAAAAATTGGCAGCAAAGTGAACCTTTTCTTTTGTGTTCCTATTGGAACATCGGCTACTTGCCTAATCGAGGGGTCGTGTCGAGGAAAACTGTTACAACGTAGTCAGACACAGTTTACCATAAGTGCGACTGCGGCAACTAGCCTTCCGTGGACATGATACAGAAAGAAGCGAGGGTACATTGCAGAGAACATGACCACAGAGTTGTAGCGGGGATAATTTGGCAGGCGAGACTGTAGTTGTTTTATTGTTCCGAACCCCGAAATTCCGGTACTCGGGCCCATACCCCGGAGACCCTCGGAACCTGCTGTGTTTGCTACTTGTTTTTTGTTTTTGTTGTTGAGCTGAGACACAAGCACGCCTTCGCCCCTTCTGCTCACTCTCATCTAGCACGCATCAAAGCCTGGCCAGAGAGTCAGTTCATAAGAACATCTATCTACATTTCTCTTTCCGAAGCTCGCTCGGGCCTCCCGATCTCATAGCAGTGTAACCTCTGTGATAGACCACAAAGTCTACGAGCGACAGCACCACCGCGGTGACAGCAGCGTAACCTCTGTGCACAGTGGTCGACTACAAAGTCTACGAGCTACAACAGGACCGCCACCTCCGCTGCTCCAGAACGCCACATTTTGTGACGGCGTTCTTGGTGTTGGTAACTGATGTACTCCCAAACACACCGATGAGGTTGTTGTTGTGCCTCACCGCTCCGTTGTTAGCGTTACATTCTGGTGCCCAGTTCTTGCTCACGGTTGTCGGCTACACGCCGTTGCCTAGGTATTGCCTCAGAACGAAATCTCTGCAAGACAGGCTGATGTTTTGCCCGCATCAGACTCTTCCTATAGCATACGCCGCTTTGCTTGCGACCGTCGGTAGAATTGTTTGGTGTTTGTCACTGCTGTACACACACGCCGATGTGATTGTCAGCTGCCCCACCGCTACAATTGTTGGCTGTTACTCGCGGTTGTATAGCTATCATTGCACCAGCCGTTAGTTGCCTCCTGACGAAATCCCTGCACGATACGCTGATTTTGTCCCCGCAGCAGACTCTGCCTATAGCATACGCCGCTACGCTGGCACTCACTGTCGGTAGATCTGTTTGGTGTTTGTCACTGCGGTACACACACGCCGATGTGATTGCCCATTGCACCACCGCTACAATTGTTGGCTGTTTCACCCCGTTGTCTAGCCATCATTGCACAAGCAGTTGCCTCATGACGAAATCCCAGCAAGACAGGCTTTTGGCTTGCCCGCAGCCGACTCTGCCTATAGCATACGCCGCTATGCGGGCGGCTCATGACGAAATCCCTGCGAGACACGTTGATGTCTTGCCCGCAGCAGACTCTGCCTATAGCATACGCAGCTATGCTCGCACTGTCGGTAGAATTGTTTGTTCTTTGTCACTGTGGTACACACGCCGAGGTGATTGTCAGTTGCCTCACCGTTACATTTGTTGGCTGTTACACGCGATTGTATAGCTATCATTTCACCAGCAGTTAGTTGCCTCATGACGAAACCCCTGCAGGACACGCTGATGGTTTGCTCGTATATTTGTTTGATGTTTGTCACGCTGTACACACGCGCCGATGTGATTGTCAGTTGCCTCGCTGTTACAGTCGTTCGCTGTTGCTCGCCGTTGTATAGTCTAGCCATCACTGCACAAGCAGTTGCCTAGTGACGAAATCCCTGCAAGACACGCTGCTGATGTCTTGCCCGCAGCAGACTCTGCCTATAGCATACGCCGCTACGCTGCAACTGTTAGGGGTGCCAATCGGTCAAATTTCCTATAGGAAAAAATTTCGAAAAGTGTCCTGGATCTTCCAGATGGAAAATCGCTCGAGCCAAAAAAATCACATCGAACGTTCCGAAGAACCCCGCCAGAACCAAAAAACACCTGACGCCCCGCGAGCGCGAAGCGTGTGTGAACGCGTTCCGCCGTGCCGTGGAGGTTGCACACGGCACCCTAGCGGCACCCTAGCGCCGTCCGCAACCTAGCAAACATGCCTGGTGGCTCACTCGAACAGCCGCCGGGCGGTGGGACCGCGCGGACTCCTCCTGCTGGAGGAAGCAGTGCTCCTCCTGCTGCTGGCGAAAAAAACAGCAGCAGCGAGGAAGCACCCATCATCTACGCCCACCGCCTCCGCCTTCGCCTTGTCTCGTTCAGCCTCTTGCTTCCTCCGCTCTGCCTCTTGCTGCGACCGCTCTGCCTCTGCTCTCTTAGCCTTCTCCTCCTTTAGCGCCTCGGTGCTCTCGCGCGCGAGCTCCTGAGCCATGCTGCACTCAGCGGTGCTTGCCGCCTCGCGCTGTTTACTTTCGACCAACTCATGCTCCTTTTCTGTCAGCGCTTTCTGTGCGGCGGCAACACCGCCCCTTTCGACCGCACGCCGTGTGTTTGACGCTGCGCAGGCGGCGTACACAGACTGCCCCGACGCCTGTTCGTACTTGGCTTGGTTTTTCCTGAGGTTCTTCGCGGCTCGCCTGCTGCCGCCACCAAAAACGCGCCTCTTGTTTTTTTGGTTACGGTTTTTTTGCTGCTGTGCTTCCCTGACAGGCGCTGCAGGAGACCCGCTTGGAAGACCATTTTCAGACGTGTAGATCTCGCTGTTGACTTGAGCGATTCCAGTTCGGTCTTTTGTGTTGTGTGGTCTAACTCCCAAGGTGGTGCACTGCAAGCTCGCTTTCTCAAGAAAGTCAGAGGCGGCCTCGGGCATTGGCCATACAGCTGAAATTTGTAGGTTTTTCTGGGTTGTTCATCCGCCCTATAAACTTAAGCATAAACCGAGCTTGCAGTGTCCTCTATTGGACTTGTGTCCAGATGTGTGCAACGTATGAAGAGCCACGTCGCTACCTGGACGCAGAGCTACTTATACAAAGTACGGAGGATAAAGTATACTTTGATCGGTATGATTCAAGAGCTGACTTGAGAACCAAAAAGTCCGCGTGCCCCCCCTTTTTTTCTCAAAATCCTCGAATAGACCGGTCACTTTTTTGCCGCCAAAATCGCCCCGATTGGCACCCCTAACTGTCGGTAGATCTGTTTGGTGTTTGTCACTGCGGTACACACACACACGCCGATGTGATTGTCCGTTGCCTCACCGCTACAATTGTTGGCTGTTACACGCCGTTGTCTAGCCATCATTGCATAAGCAGTTGCCTCATGACAAAATCCCTGCAAGACCCGCTGATATACATAGACAGATTCCACCTCGAGTAAAAACGCACGAAAAAAACGTGGTTCGCCAAACAACCGTGCTTCGAGGTTCCGCCGCGCCTTTTCGTGCGAATTTCTGCAGCATAGATCGTCTGTTTTTTTTTCCGTTTGGTGAGTTTTTTTTTTCCGCGTTTGAAAGAAACAAACTTCATGCGCGCACACGCACACATCCACTTTACCGCACGATACGTACTCCGAGAGCACAGCTATCAATCCCTGAGGCAACTGGTGTGGAACCGGCACGCGTTGGGGTCATTTCCGGTGAACGTTTGTGTTTAAAAGGACTTGCTGGGGGCGTGCGTGCGTGGGGGGCGTGGTTGGGACAGCTTTTCACACGCACCAGTGACCGTGGTAGCCGCCTCTCCTACGGCGGACTTCGTCTGCATCCCCGCCTCTTGAGGGAGAAATCGAGCCATCAGTCTCACCAGCGGTCAAGTGCTTGGAAGTCAGGGTTACCACAATTCACCCGGCGGCGTGGTTCGATATGGGAGCGTGGTTTGAGTTGGGAACGTATCGGAGTTGCCGCATTGCCACTACCGCCAGGACGAGGAAAAGCGCCTCCTCTCCAGCCACTGCACACAGCAGAGCCGCCATGAAATCATCTGCATGATTTGGCCATCCCTCTCATGCCGAATGTTACCACGCTGTAGGCGCGCCATTTGCTTCAGGACATTAACGTGCATGCCAACATCACGCCAAATCACGCCGCCACGTGTTTCGTGATTGCGGAAATATAAAAAAAGAGAGGGGGTACCGATGTCCGAAAAAATATCAAGCGCACGGGGAGGGGGTTCCAACCGGCACTAGCGGGGAGACAGCGAAACACGATTTTTCAACCGTCACTTCCTGAAACGCGCTTCTCCAAACACGTTACTTTCGTGCGTTTTTTAGGTGGAATCCCTTGGATGTCTTACCCGCAGCCGACTCTGCCTATAGCATACGCCGCTACACCGGTGGCCACTTTGCTCTCCCACAGGGTGTTCGCCCATTTACTTCCACAAGGCCGGACATATCCCAGGGTTTTCCCATAAAAACATTGGCACGGTTCTTAGGCATTTACCTGTCAGGGTTCCATGGTTTGTGACACCCTGGGATATGCGCGACCTTGCGAAAGTATGTAGTTCGCCACACACACGGTTTCCATGGGTTTTTTCTTATTTGTTTATCTCCCATCATTGGATTCTGTCGTCTGCCCCTCTGGCCCCTATCCTCCACTTCTACCAGCTAGATGACCCAACCGGGGTCACATAGGAGGGGGGGGTTGGACCCCCTCCTGCGGTTCCTGCCTGAGATGTTTTTATCGCGAGAAGGGTACAGCAATCCCTTCCCTCGCGACTTATCAAGTCGATCAAGTTTACCAACAACGAGCTTTGCAGCGCGTCGCTTCCAACGGAGACCAGGATTTTTTAAGCGAGAAAAAACTCACTCTGTCGGGACTCGAACCCATGACCTCGCCCTTAGCAAGCTACGAGGATACCCACTAGACCACCGGGGCGACCGGTGTGTGGCACCCTGGGATACGTGCTACCTTGCGGAAGTATGTAGTTCGCCACACTATCAGGGTTCCATGGTGTGTGGCACCCTGGGATATGTGCGACCTTGTGGAAGTATGTGGTTCGCCACGCTGTCAGGGTTCCATGGTGTGTGGCACCCTGGGATATGTGCGACCTTGTGGAAGTATGTGGTTCGCCACGCTGTCAGGGTTCCATGGTGTGTGGCACCCTGGGATATGTGCGACCTTGTGGAAGTATGTGGTTCGCCACGCTGTCAGGGTTCCATGGTGTGTGGCACCCTGGGATATGTGCGACCTTGTGGAAGTATGTGGTTCGCCACGCTGTCAGGGTTCCATGGTGTGTGGCACCCTGGGATATGTGCGACCTTGTGGGTGTACAGTGATTCGCCCCACCCTGTCAGGGTTCCATGGTGTGTGGAACCCTGGGATATGTGCGACCTTGCGGAAGTATGTGGTTCGCCACGCTGTCAGGGTTCCATGGTGTGTGGCACCCTGGGATATGTGCGACCTTGTGGGTGTAATGTGGTTCGCCACACCCTGTCAGGGTTCCATGGTTTGTGACACCCTGGGATATATGCGACCTTGTGGGTGTACAGTGGTTCGCCCCACCCTGTCAGGGTTCCATGGTTTCAGACGCCCTGGGATATGTGCGACCTTGCGGAAGTACATTGGTTGGCCACCCTGTCAGGGTTCCATAGTTTGTGCCACCCTGGGATATGTGCGACCTTGTGGAGGTACGCACCTGTAGCCATTTGGTTCACCCTGTGCGGACCTTGCAGGCCAATAGACCCTGTACGGACGCTGTGACACCCTGCCAAGGTAATCGGTCCCNAATGTGGTTCGCCACACCCTGTCAGGGTTCCATGGTTTGTGACACCCTGGGATATATGCGACCTTGTGGGTGTACAGTGGTTCGCCCCACCCTGTCAGGGTTCCATGGTTTCAGACGCCCTGGGATATGTGCGACCTTGCGGAAGTACATTGGTTGGCCACCCTGTCAGGGTTCCATAGTTTGTGCCACCCTGGGATATGTGCGACCTTGTGGAGGTACGCACCTGTAGCCATTTGGTTCACCCTGTGCGGACCTTGCAGGCCAATAGACCCTGTACGGACGCTGTGACACCCTGCCAAGGTAATCGGTCCCCAAAAGGTCTACGGGCAGGAACCCTGTCAGGGTGTCGACCCTGCCAGGGTTGTATAAGTTGGTCCGTAGATACATGCGTAGGACTTAAAGGTGTGTTTGGCCTAGAGGATACAGCCCCAGCAGTCTACCGATGGTCCAGCCGTCTACTGATGGACACGGCCGTTACATTTTTGGATGGTGTTCGCTGGTGTTCGCTGCTGCGAGGGAAGTGACACAGTCCCGCGTTGACACGTTCAAGAATTAAAATTATTACGGCCGGCGTGCCAGGGTGTACTCTCCGGAGGGCGCATATATTCTTCCAGACGTGGTTATATCTCTCTTTTAATCAGGACAGATACCTCTCTCTTGTACGTATGGCTAATGTATCCAAACCATGTCCGTAGACCCACGAACAACCTCCGCTGCTGCAGGACGCCACATTCTGTGAAAATATACAGACAATTTCTATGCTACAGATAGAACGGGACGATCGGAGCTGTCATCGGAGCTGTAGTCCCTTGCCATTGTGAGCGAAAAGTGGGCGGGGACGATAGTCTCCTTGCCGCTCCTACCTCTGCCTGAGGCACAACAGCAGCAGCAGAAGTAACCCGATCACCACCATCATCATGGACCCAGAGGAAGTTGCTCAGTTTTGGCAGGACATAGGAAACCAATGGCACCCAGAAACGGCTCCACGTGTTGTCTGGGATGAGCTGCTGGTCATCGCGAACTCGACGTCAGCGCAACTTCCCGCTGCCACGGCTGCTGCAGCACCGGGCGGTAGGATAGCGCTACTGTCAACACGGGGCAACAGGGCCGCAGCCCCTACCCGAGATCAACAACCTTGCGGAAAGGCAGAACGTTGCGCAGCAGCACCCCAGTTTCTGCGGGTACCATCACTCTCGCTGCATCGGGGCGGTCGACTTTGCCAAGGCAGCCGAGAGGAGCTCGGGAGGGGCGGTCACAACGAAGCGTTTACGGAATCAAGTGAGTCGCGAAAGTGTGAACCCCAAGTGTATGTTGCCTGTAGCTGGCTGGCTGGCTCAACACAACACGTCTGCACGGCAGGAGCATGTCATTCATGTGAGGATTCCGTACGACATCGGAATAGTCTCGTGCATGTTGTTCGTGTCTTCGTGCGCTNAAGGCAGAACGTTGCGCAGCAGCACCCCAGTTTCTGCGGGTACCATCACTCTCGCTGCATCGGGGCGGTCGACTTTGCCAAGGCAGCCGAGAGGAGCTCGGGAGGGGCGGTCACAACGAAGCGTTTACGGAATCAAGTGAGTCGCGAAAGTGTGAACCCCAAGTGTATGTTGCCTGTAGCTGGCTGGCTGGCTCAACACAACACGTCTGCACGGCAGGAGCATGTCATTCATGTGAGGATTCCGTACGACATCGGAATAGTCTCGTGCATGTTGTTCGTGTCTTCGTGCGCTCCATAGACCATGTAGACATGTAGTCTAGTCTATATGCTTACGTCCCTTTTTCCATGTACAGTAGCAATCTCCGTATCTTGCTACAAGAGGAAGCATACATTTATTTGTGTACGACGAGCAGGCTGTAGGTAGCAAGATACTTGGTCGCGAAAGGACGGCGATACACATGTGTGCGGTGAGCAGTGCTTCATTTGTCTGCTGTAGGTAAATGTAGTCACTTTCGAACTTCAATGACGAAATGCGGTATGACATGGATCAACGCAGCTGCGAGAGCGAAGTCATGACCACACGAAGTGAAAAGGAGAGAGGGATAAGCGACGTCGGCGAGTCTACCCCCAACCCTAATAGAATGCTCCAGCAGTGCTGTCGAAACACATACATATGGTGGTGCCCAACACGTCGATACCCCGGGTCATGCCGAGAGATAGGGTGGTATCTCCCGTACCATGGGACGGGGAGAGTCCGTCGTATTAATAGTCAACAAGTCTTCAAAGTTTTCTCTGTTCAAGGCAGAAGGAGTAACGCCGTTGTCGAGAGACCGAAAATATCCTCCATGTAGTCCGAAAGGAGGAACGTCCACATTGCGTGTACGCGTCCGTCTCTCACAGGCTATTGATGCTATCGTTCGTTACCTCTCGATTTTTCCCCGAAGACCTGGAGTACACTATGTAACCGACAACCCGACATCCACGTTTTTCCTGCCCACAACGTGCAGGCTTCGTTCGACACGAGCATTCAGATGAATGCAAGGGGTCGCGGCGTGCAGATCACGAGGAGCGACTGCTTCACGGAGGCGTGCCCCGCGGTGTGGGTGGGGGATGAACCCGTGCCAGCGGCCATTGCGGACGCACTCCTGTCGTGATATTTGATGGTGTGCGATAGGCTGCTCATGGGACGTGAGGGATGGGGTGTGTGCTGGACGATATCTCACTCACTAGAATTTGGAAGAATTGCGCCGATATGCATGTACATGCCGTGATGTTTTTTGATTGCTGGTTGGTTCCAGATCGAGCAGACCGTCGAGGATTGTGCGTGGTTTGCCGGGCGTCGTGTCTCCGCATGTTGTTGAGTTCGCTGGGGTAATTTCGACAAATGGTGCTGGCAAGGCACGCATAGGTGAAAGAAGCGGTGGTGCATTCTACAAAGAGCATTGGCAAAAAGCATTGGCACATGTTGTGGTCACACCCATAGGAGGGCGTAGACATGTGTATGTCGAGGTCAGCGTGGTGTGAAACGACGACAGCGAACAAAAAAAACTCTAGTCTAGTACGTATGCGTGGCTTCCTCGCGTGGAGGGAGCGTCTTATTCGCACAATTGGATTTCGATGGCGTTCGCGGTCTCCGCAATACCTGTGAATTGAGACACCACCATCGCACTATTGGATTCGATGGCGTTCGCGGTCTCCGCAATACCTGCGCGTTGAGAAACCATCGGTGTATTGCGACAGCATCGGTATGGCGTGTGTGAAACGCTGTTGCGCGAAAGGAAAATCGCACGCAGCCAGAAAAATAAATGTGTCAGACAGTCGTTTCGTAGATGCGAAAGACCTCTTGCTATGCTATCTGCAACTCTTGTAAACTCTTGCCTCTATGGCTAACGTGGCTGTCAACTAAGTCTCAGATACCGGCGACAACCCAACGCCGACATGTATAAGTGGACGTCAAAACATATCCCGGTAAAGAAACGACAACACAAGTAGTAGTACAGCAGGCAACACTGGAAGCCTGCCAAGGGAACTAGTCTAAAGTTTACGATTGAAAAGTAGTATCTACCAACCGGTGCCCCACAACAAACTCTCCGCTGCAATGGTTTCGTACAGACAAATACACCTTGAGGATGGCCCCCGTCACCGGCTTCACAGCGCACGCCCTCTGCCATGTACGTCCCAAACTGGAGCCAAATTTTTTGCATCGGAAACCGTCTCGGGAGGCGGTTCGTCACTGTCCGTCTCACCGTCCGTCTCCTCGGCATCGGTAGCCTCGGGCACTGCATCAGGGGGCGGCTCGAGCCCGGTATCGCTGCCGGCCTCACCGTCCGTCTCGCCGTCCGTCTCACCGTCCGTATCTCCGGCGGCACCGGCCACGAGCGCCTCAAAGTTCGCCTCGAAAATCTCCATGACGTACTGCGCCACCGAGATGACTTCACCGCAAGGCCAGCCGCTGGCTCCGTTATGCTTGCCTGGTGAGGGCTGTGAGAAAGTGGGAGTGAGTGTTCTGACCATTGACGATGAACAAAGTCGGCACACGAAAAAAACTAATTGCATATTGAACAGTCACAACGCACTCGACGATAATAAAGATCTGGCCTGGAGTACAGGGGCCTCGAGCACAGCACGGATGGCTCTGTGGCGTCGTAGAGCTGGATCTTCGCGATATCTTCGTGGATGATCTGAAGGTCTGGCAGTCCGAGAAGTTTCCCGATGATAAGAACGGCGTGCTCATGCAGGAAAAATCCTGCCAGCATGGTGATGAACTCCCAGTCGCGCTGGCTGCCCATGTTCGCAGCCGACTGGACCAGCTCGGTTATTTCTTTTTTCGTCTGGCCCGTGCTAGCTGCGTACTCCACTACGCGCTGCCGACAGAGCAATACCAAGTTCGATATCGCCGTCGTGGACTCCGGGGGCGCGCCTTCCAGCGACAACACCGCCTGAGCTGCGCGCGAATCCATCAAGGAGTGAAGAAGAACCGCCAAAAGGGCACAATCCCCCTCCCCTGTGTTGCGCATTGTGTGAAACACGTTCGTGTTCCTCCACGACCAAACCTCGTCAGTCGCATCAGCGGGCACCTTCTTGACCCGGCCCCGCTTTCGCCGACGTTCTTTTCGCACTTGCGCCTCTCGGTTTTCGGGCTCCCCATGTTTCACCTGTCACGTTCGAGACGCCAACAGTAGAGAGTCGATCGACAGGGGGCTGCGTGAAGACGCATATTGAGGGGGCTTGTGTCATGACGCATCGAGACTTCATATTCAGGCAGCAGGTGGATGGGGGAAAGTATCAACACAGTCTCTCCCCTCCCAGTATGGACATTGAGATTTGAGACAGGGGGCAATGCCAACACAGAGCCTCCCCTCTCTCAATATGCGTATCGAGATTTGAATGTTGTAACAGTGGTGTTAACACTAACGACCCAGGTGGTTTACTCATGCTTTAGCGTAACAGCGACTGGCTCTAGGGTCCAATTAGTTTCGTTAATTTCATGGTTATGTTCATGACATCTTAATACTTGAGTCAAGAGGGGGCTAGCAAAGGGTGTCCAATCAAGGCGGGCCTAGCCTAGATGACTGCTAAAGGGGGGACTATCAAGGTGAGACTACAGTAGCAAGGAGGGGCTAATCAAGGTGGGACTATTCAATTCATTGACTCACAGATTAGTTGCTCTTGTAGCCGTGTGGTCAAAGTTGCTTCGTTAGAATCGGCTGTATCGATTAAGCAGGTGAGGGAAGGCGCCCTAGAGGGGGGCCGTTCACTGATTCAGGTACACCCGAAGGTATACCCTAGCCCCCCTCAAACCATCACAAGATGGAATGAATCTCAGTATTTTCTAGCGCCCGTTCATGCTACCGTGACACACCCTCAGCATAAACATGTTGAAAAACACAAAATGCTCAGGAGGTTGTTCGTGAGTCTGCGAACATTGCTGTTGGATACATGTGCTGGATG